TCCATGTGGCTGGCGCCCTAACCACTGAACAACAGGTGTCTAGCCTAGGATTTATTTTTTAACAGAGAATTACACTTTTAATGTGTAATCATAAAGAAAAAGGGCAATGCCCACTGGGATAGAAAGACGCTGTCTCCTGTCAGAAAGGGAAAATAAAAGAGAAAGAGGAAGAAAAGAAAACATTTTAAATCTAGGTAGCTAAATTAGTCAGTATTAAATAAACAGGATCTATGAAATTTTAATAAGGCTATAGTATTATACTTCCCTTCTAATCAGTTCCTTGTTGCATAAATATCCACAACATATAAATAATGGCAAATAAAATTAAAATAAAATCAAACTTTTTTTTTTTTTTTGTAGAGACAGAGTCTCACTCTATTGCCCTCACCATCACACAGCTCACAGCAACCTCCAACTACTGGGCCTAAGCGATTCTCTTGCCTCAGCCTCCCACATACCTGGGACTACAGGCACCCGCCACAATGCCCAGCTATTTTTTTGTTGCAGTTTGGCTGGGGCCAGGCTTGAACCCAACACCGTCGGTATATGGGGCCAGCGCCCCACCCACTGAGCCACAGGCACCACCCCTAAAATCAAACTTTTGATAGTGTACAGTAACTTGACAGTTTTAGGATCTGCAATGTAGGTAATAAAGGTCAAGCTATGAGTTTAGGATCTATTTACTTAATTGACAACTAAGCTATGAAGCAGTGGTGCTGAAATCAGTCAGGAGGCAATTATCTGCCAACAGATAAACATAGATCACAACCAGAGTAAATGAATAGTAAAGAGAAATGAAGACTGCTTAAAAACAAAAATTCAAACAGAAACACTTCTATTAAAAGTATGATTTATAACATTAGTTAAGTATTTTATTAAACTGTGCTTTCTTTATTTTCTTTGCCACAGTTCAACTTTCCTCACAGTAGAAGACAACAAATGATGGTATTAGTTTTATCGGTGAACCTATGGAACAAGTTGGCATATTTTCCATTTCTGAGATTGACTTGTACTACATCTGGAGAAACAAAAGAAAAATTAGAAGCCTGTAATAACTGAACCATTCTATCATCAATAATACAGACAATGCTAGTAAGCCATTATTACATTCTGTAAACGCTGTCCAGTAAAAAACTAGTTGCAACAGAGGAGAAATCCCATTAACTTATACGGATGAGTGCTTAAAATGCAGTACAAATTAGATTTTTGTTTAATATTATAGTTTTGACTTAGGACAGAAATGTGCCATGGCATTGGAACATTATCTTAAGTAGATGAAAATATATCACTGATATACATCAAGAAAACTTATTTAATTATATATATGTATATGTAAAGCTCATAATTTCTTTTTTTTTTTTTGAGACAGGGTCTCACTTTTGTCTCCTCAGCTGAGTGCTGTGGCATCATAGCTCACAACAACCTCCAACTCTTTGGGCTCAAACAATTCTCTTGCCTCAGCCACCCAAATAGCTGGGACTACAGGCGCCCATCACAACGCCCGGCTATTTTTAGAGACAGGCTCTCACTCTTGCTCATGTTGGTCTCAAACCTGTGAGCTCAGTGCACCCACCTTGGCCTCCCCTTGTTCTACAATTACAGGCATGAGCCACCACGCCAGGCCAAGCTCATCATTTCTTAACCTTATAAAGGTATTGACTCAAATAGAATAGGAGCCCCAAAGATAGATTAAAATATATATATTCAAATAATATATAATAAAACATATGAATTAATAACAGAAAAATTTAATTTTATCCTACAGTTTTTTTTTTTTGACACAGAGCCTCAAGCTGTCCCCCTGGGTAGAGTGCTGTGCCATCACAGCTCACAGCAACCTCCAACTTCTGGGCTCAAGCGAATCTCCTGCCTCCACCTCCCAAGTAGCTGAGACCACAGGTGCCTGCCATAACACCTGGCTACTTTTTGGCTGCAGCCACCTTTGTTGTTTGGTGGCCCAGGCTGGATTCGAACCCACCACCTTAGGTATATGTGGCTGGCGCCTTAGCCACTTGAGCCACAGGCACCGAGCCTTATCCTATAGTTTCAATATTCTCCCCTACCAAAACTTTACCAAACCTCTAAGCAAATAGCTACATCTAAGTTTTACTTTCTTCCTCTATTCATTGTCCATAAAATATGCCATAGTACAAATATAAAAGATGTAACCTAGAAAAACTGTGAGGATTAAATGAGTTAATATTAAGTACCTAGCACAGCATATGGCACACAGCGAACACTCAGTAAGTGGTATTATTATAATTATTTATTAATTTTAATAGCACCTTTCATTTGCACAGCATTTCTTCACAGTAACTTCTCAAACTATGCAAATTCCTCACAGTTTACAGAATTCACATTGATGTCCAATATTCCTGGATATCTATAAAATTTGAGTGCAAACACATGAAAATGATAGTGATTCATGCAACAAGTTAATATATTATGACTATGGAAATAAAGGATGTTTTTAGGGAATTTCAGCTCAAAAAACTACATGTAACACATACATTCCTATAATCCATTAATTTAACTAAACTCTTGAAATTATTGAAATTGTATCCTTTACTACTTCAACTTTCTGATGTGTACCATTTGTATACCTAATAGTGTAACCCATTATTCTGGAATTTGATTAAAAATTTGTATCCTATCCATATCTGTGATTAAATATATAAGGCTTTTCTACTCAATAAACAGGGATTCCCTAGAATTCAAAAGCAAAATTTTTAAAAAACCGCTTTATAGGCCTGGAGCAGTGTAATCCTAGCATTTTGGGAGTCCGAGGTGGGAGCACTGCTTGAGGCCTGGAGTTCGAGACCTAAGCAAGAGTAATACTCCATCTCTATGAAAATTAGAAAGATCACCTGAGAGTGGTAATTTCGTGGTGCATTAGCTGAAGAGGGAGGACTGACTGCTGGAGCTCAGGAGTTTGAGGTTGCAGTGAGCTATGATGAGGCCACTGCACTCCAGCCTAAGTGACACAGTAAGACCCTGTCTAAAAAAACAACAAAACTACTTTGTCATAAAAATAAACAGACTATACATTAAATTGACAAGATTTATGTTCCACAAAATAGCCTTAAAAGAAAAATTAGTAATATATGTGATAACAATGAAGTCTCATTTCCTAAATATCCACCATGAAAACTAATGCATCTTCCAAGTATTCATCAAGGAGTTAAAAGGGGACAGATATAAAATAAACTGCAATCTGTAACATATTGTGATCTCCAGGGACCTGAGGAGAAGGGTCAAAGGAAAGGGCTTTGTTCTCAGGAAAAGGGCATGGTAACTGCCTGATTTAAGCATCCAGGTCCCTTGAAAAGCATTCTTCATAGAAAATAGGAGTAATTCTTCTACTATAATTTTGATGCTGAAATATCATTCAAGACTTTCCAAGTTTCTTTTCTATGATTTCATAATTACCACACAACCTCTAGGTATTAATTAACTTAGCTTCTCAAATTCTTGGATAGACCAGAGTCTACCAGATTTTCAGTTAACATAGAAAGGGTTATCTTCTATTACAACACAAATTGGCATTCTAGCGTGTAAAATCCAACATGTACTTCACTCTCTTATTTAGTTTAGTTGGAACTGGGTTCTTGAACTCTGAGCATACACCAGTAAAAGTATATATTTGAGCTTCTTAGGTTGGAAATATGAGAACCAGACACCCTCACTGACAACTGCTACAATCATCATGGTTTTCACTTCTCTTCTCTTGCCCCTAAAATGAAACACGGTAGTCAAAACAAATTTAGGTAGATTCACTTAAACACCAAAAGGAATGATCAACATCAAATTAACAACTCGGAATTTAAAAGCAAAACACAGGATACATGTTTACATAGCTTCATTTACATTAATACTTTATTCCCCAAGAAAAGAGAAACCTATGATGCTCAAATTGTGCTTTAAGGCAATGTCTAGAAATTATTTTTGAGCTTGCATCAGTCATGAACATTATTGATACGGTGGTTTAGCATATGTGGCTCAATTACTCCTAGACTTGAAAAAATATTTAAGAAACCCATCTACAGTTACAATGAAAAAAATCTGAATGATGGTCACTTTTATAGCCATGTATCAAAAACAACTGTACTTCCTTAATATTTTGAAATAAATATAAATAAATAATAAAAAGTATTTAAGAGACATTCCATGTGGTACAGAGTAGGGCAGGAATACTCTCATTTGAGTGTATGAATTTGAGACCTCAAATAACTCAAACTTTCCTCACTGGGTCATTCAAAAGTAACTGTTATTCCTTCAAAAAAAGCTCTCTTCCATATGCCAAAGCATTTAGCCTTACACCAGAATTCCAGCTCTTCAATTGCGTCCGCTTAAGTGTCATGTATGAGAAGAAAATCCCTACCATATTCTCAGTTCGCCTAAACAAAGAAATATCTATTCTCTCTAAATCCACAGGGCAGAATTCTCTTAGGATGGTGATGACAAGAACTTCACCGCAACTAAAATTGTCTTTGCAATCTCCGTCTCCAGGAGACTGAAAGGTTGCAGAGACGCGTGAGGATCCTGCAGGGAGCTTGGGGCGCCAGAGAGAGGGTGGGGCCAAGTGCTGTTCCCCACTGAGGAACAGCATTAGAAGGAAACACTTCGAGAACGTCTAAGGGAGAGGCAGTTAACCGCAAGTAGACTTATCTCTATATTGTGTACGTTTCAAAGA